AAATCATGGCCTGTTTCATGGGTATAAGCTGCAACTTCTGATAATTGGTTGACTCATCGTACAGCCAGCTATAATTAGCCACTAAAATTAGCCCCCTTTTGTTGCTGTTTCTTATCTCTGATGATGGACTCCCGTAAAAGTTTGAAAGCCCAGGATAATAAACAAATTTATCCGGTGCTCGACGGTTTTTCCCTTATCCATGCAAATATTTGGAACACGAACGTTCTCTTCATTGGTGAAAGAACGTGACCGTTCACGTAACGAAGTTTTTTCGTCCGGCTGCGCCTAGGCGCTCTACCTAGAGCTTCCGCAGTTTTTCGCATAACGCGAGGATGGGGAGCGGTAACTAGCAACGAACACAATCGAGACTTGGATATCTGCTGCTGGCTTATTGGCCACCACCAGCTTGTCACAGGCATCCCCAGACTTTGATGAGCTGGGAATCGATACTTATATGCCGTGCATTGGATTACTTATGCTTTTGTACGCCCTTATTCACTTGCTCATCGACACTGAGCCTAGAGCCGGAGCTAGAACTTACACGGCGGTGACGATTGATAATAATCTGGCATTAAAACCTACGAAGTCACGTGACGAGGTTTCACGTTAAAATAACAAATTCTTCATTAGTGAGTACCAGTTTATCGTCTAGTTAACAATCGACTTCTGAAAACTATCCCGTGCCCCAGTGCCTTTTTCGGTTCACTCAAAGAGGAAGGTCGACCCACTTTGAGAAACAGGCAATTTAATGTAAGTTATACAAAAACACTTGCCAGAGGGTAGCGTGCACGCGATTGGCGGAAATTCATTCATTTTCTGTTTTATGGAGCCTGCGTCGAGGCCCATCTGGACATTAATTTGGAGAAGCTCTTTCCGAAGGCTTCGGTAGTCGGCTATCCTCTGCGCCCTTTCAGCTTCTAGCTCCTTCAGCTTGTCCTCCAAATCCTAAAGTCAAATGAATACACGTGACGGGCAGGGTATCAGATTTGAAAACAAAAAAAATGTGCCTTATGGATCTGCTCACAAACAGCACGAATACTTAAGAATCACATGTCAGAATCGGTGAGTGGGCCTTTCTGCCAGCTACTTGGCCATTATGACCCTGACCCTGTTTCCGAGGTAAAACCACCTGCTTGGTCTTGATGCCAAAACCAAACTCGAGTAAACTGTCGACGTTTAAGCGAGAGGTCACCTGTCACGCATCTCACGAGACTGCATAAAAGTAATCATCATCACCGACGATAATTCACCGCGCGTCCTGAAATGCTTACCTTCGCTAAAGCTGGCTTGCGTGTGCAAATGGACATGCCTTGTCATTAAATTCATCCCATTAAATTCCACCTATCAAAAATTCCAGAATTCAAACGCTCAATTTCGCAAAATAGCTTTAAGAAGGATCATGCGAATTATTATGTAGACACTGAAGGGGTGGCTCGTGTTTGTATTAGAATTAGTACTTTAGAATGACCACGGCGAACATGAATCAGGACGCAAAGCGAAAATTCGTAAGGGATGTAAACAGGCTACTGGTAATATAATATTGACCAACACTAAAATTAGATCAGGGCTAGGACTTCTATTTCAGTTATATATATTTATGGAGGTTGCATAGTAGACTCGACTGAAATTCTTACGCATATTAAGATTATGCTTAAATTAACAACTAAGCCTTAGTAATCAGAGTAAGATATAGGGGAAATTCATGAATGGTTGAGACGTGGCTCTCAGATACCAACTCTATTAACAGGCGTTTGGACCTGCCTGCGGCCTACAAAGTCTTGCGCCATTATGTTGGCGAAGGACAGAACAAGGCCGAACCGAAAGAAAGAATGACAAGCGAAGAGGACCCCACAACGAACCGGCCGGAAGAGGAGGCAGGGTTATCAAGATCCTCTACCGTGGGGACAAGGCACGACACTAATTGGTGTTCATGACCCGTCCGTGCCCGCGACCAGAAACCAGCGCCCAGTTCTCTGCAAGCATGCAGGCTGCCACGCAAGGTCAAACGCCGTAACTCCAGGGACGCGCGCAGGAGACACACGATAA